AATCAGGGATATCTTCTGAGCTTTATCTTCTTTCACCTCACTGAAAATGTTGACACTGTGGACTGCCTTCTCCTTCTACAAACACTTTCTTCTGTGATAAACATTGTCCTCTCACCTCTTGACTCTTCCTCTCTGTTTCTTTCCCGACCCTTCTTGCTCCTCCTGCCCCTCCGAAGCAGGTACAGCCCCCCAAGTTCTGTCCTCTTGACTGTCTTCTATGTACTTCCCCTCCACTTCAGCACCACGTTTCCGCTCATGATGTCCAAGTCTGTCTCCAGCCCTCTCTCCTGGACTTTATAGCCATATATATTTTTTTAAACAATGTATTTATTTATTTATTTTAAAATATTTTATTTATTTATTTGGCGCAGAGAGAGAGAGATCACAAGTGGGCAGAGAGGCAGGCTGGGGCGGGGGGAAGCAGGCTCCCTGCTGAGCAGAGAGCCCGATGCAGGGCTCAATCCCAGGACCCCGAGATCATGACCCAAGCTGAAGGCAGAGCCTTATCCCACTGAGCCATCCAAGTGTGCCCCCCAACCCCCCATATTTCTAACCTCACTGCTTTATCTATTCTTTCAGCAAATCCCTATGGAGAGTCCACCTTGTGGTAAAGAAGGACATGGTCTCTGCCCTCATGGAGTTTACCCATCAGCCAAGGAGACCATCACTCAGCAGCCAGTCACACCATTAGGCATCTGGTTACGATCATGAAAAGGGCTACAAAGAAGAAATGTCTGCTTGGGAGGTAGATTGAATTCTTCTCCAGGGTCAGGAGAGGTGTGAAGAATTAGGGTTTGAGGTGAACTGGGTGGATGAGCAGGGAGTGAGGGAAGAGGAGAATGGGACAGAGAGGCTCTCTGTCAGAGAGGGAACATGGCTGAAGGCCAAGTCAAGAAGGAGTGGGTACATAGGAGAGCCAGGAGAAAGTTGGAGCAGGCAGTGGGCTGTAGGGAAAGCCATTCGGGAAGGTGTGAAATGAGGCTAGGGCCAAGGCAAGGCCTGGAAGGACGTGTTGAAGATGCGGGCCAAACTCTGCAAGCTTGAGAAGAGTGTGATCATATCTGGACTTCTAAAAGATCATGCCATTGCTGTGTAGAGAAAGGGAGCAAGACTGGAATTAGCATCAGGAGGTCATGGTGAGAGTCCAGGTGAGCCATTATTTTGGTCTGGACTGATGGCAGCAGAAGGAAAGAGAAACAGACAGAATCTAGAGGTACTTAGAAGATGAAATCTCCCGGATTTAGTGGTAGATTGCACAACAGAGTGAGAAAGAGGAGGTCTCAAGGATGATTACTGGGTTTCTGACTGGCTTAGCTCTTCATGGAGCCAGGGAGGACTGGAGGAGGAGCAGGAAGTGAACTACGGAAAGTTTCCAGGGTAGAACTTCGAATGGTGAATGTATTTCTTACACATCTGCATTGGAGCTGATTCCAAGGGAGTCAAGGGGAAAGATGGAGTAGGAAGTTGAGCATGTAGAGCTCAGAGGATATCTGGAATGGACATGGAGAGGTGGGAATCAGTGGTGGGTCTGGGAGACGCTCTAGGAGAGGGGTACAAAGGGTGAAAAGGCTAGGGCTCTGGGAGGCCCAGCATTGAACTGGAAGGGGAAACTGAGAGGTGGCCAGAAGGTAGGAGGAAAGCCAGGGAATGTGGAGTCCTAAGGAAGAGAGTGCTAGAAGGAAGGAGAGCCAAGAAGGAAGGAGAGCCAAGACAAGTATCACAGAGAGGTCAGGGAGATGAGGACTTGGAGACTGTTCCATGGATTTAGTGACATAGAAATCCCTTGTGACCTTAGTGAGAGAAAGCCATCTTGGCAGCATGATGGGCAGAGGTGAGTTGAAGAGTGAGTGGGGGTTGAGGGAATGGAAGTAGGCTATGTGGAAGACAATGAGAAGGTAGGGATGGGAGCTTTAGTGACTTTGTAAAAGGAAGATAGCTGCTAAGAAGGATCCAGTAGCAAGGGAAATGTGGACAAGGAAGAGAGAAGAGGAGTAACCCACAGTGATTGAGGATCTCAAGAAGCGTGGGACCAGGGGACCCAGTGGGCAGATGGGGGCTAATCTCAGGGAGCAGGAGAGACTCTCCGATGCTGTACCAGGAAGGAGGAGGAGAGGGCAGGTGCAAATGTAGGGGCATATGGGGGCAGATCTGCTTTCATCAGTGGAAAACCAAGAGGAGCTTCTGGCTGAAATAAAGCAGGGATCTATGCGGTATTGGTGCTACAGTGGGATGGGTATTTAGGAGTGGAGAAGGTTGGAGTGGCCTCCAACAGAATGGAGAAGTAAGTTGACCAGAGAATCCTAGGAAGGTTGTTGTGCCACTTGAGAGCCCACTTGAGGTTAATGACCATGAAAAGTAGAGGGACACCTGTGTGTTCCATAGTGCGTTTTTCTCTAGAGAACTTGGCATAGAGAAAGCCAGTATCGAGTTCATTCATGGTTGGGGCTTGACTGGGGTTGATGTGACATACAGGTAGGGTAGCAATGGACATCCTGGGGTTATCCTTTTGATAGCCCACGGACATTTTATTTTCAATATGTCCCAGATTCATGATCTCATTACTTTCTTCCCTACTGTTCCTCAAATCTGTTCCTCTTTTGAAATTCCCTATCCTGGTTAATAATAATAAATCATCTAATAATAACACTAATAACAGTCATTTTTTAAGCATACATATCAGATGTAATACCAGATATTTTAAAAAAATCATCTCATCTGATCATAATAACAGCCTTATGGGGGATGTATTATTCATTGTACAGATGTGGAAACTGAGGATCAGAATGTGCTCAAGGTCTCTAGTAAGTGGCAGTTGGGATGAAAGAAAACAGGTCTGCAAGGTCCAAAGTCCTATCCTTCCCCATCAGCACACCATTAGTGCAGTGAGTTCCCTTGCCCCCAAACCACCTAACTCTGACCCCACCCTTCTTCTCCATCCCCGACCAGGTCCAGTGTCCCATTCTGTTGGTTCACCTCTGGCACGTCCCCTGGATCACTTGCTACTTCCTGCCATGCCTCTTCACCCCACTCCGTGTTATTGGTTGGGTCCCCTTGCATGTCAGCTCCATGAGGATAGGGATCATCGCCTGTCCTGTTCTCTGCTGTGTCCTCAGGGCCTAGAATAGCACCAGGCAAACGCTAGCTAGCACTCAGTAGCTGCTGAGTGAAAAGATAGATGTCCTTTGGGAGATAAATCTCCACGGGAGTCTCACATTTCTGCAGGCCTTGTAGGCAGAGGCACTGAGGGCTGTTTGCTCCAGACTATCTTTTCAAGGATATTTGCATAGTGAACAGCTTCGGAAGACAGTCTCCCTCAGTGGAGGATGGGCTTGTTTGCTGTCTAAGATAACCATGTCTCTCTCCAGGGCAAAGGCTGGCAGGTTTGCTTGCAGCCCATTATAAAGGACTGGGGTTTCTAAACTTAGAATTCCTCAGGGTATGCAGGATCGCAGGGACCTAGCCCTTCCCATGGAACTTGGAAAGCAAGGGAAACTGACTTGAAAGTGAAGCTCCTGCTTCTTGCTGCACTACAGGTAATGAAGTCCTTTGTCTCTGGCCATGGAGTCTCATGTCTTCTGCCAGCTTCCATGAAACAGTGGCAGATTCACTCTTTAGACTCCAAGGGTAAAAATCTCAGAACCTTCAGAGTTTGTGACAGTGGTCCTCTTGCCTGTCAGTAGGACAACTGAGAGTCAGCCTCCACCTCCCCCTGCCTCTCCCTTCCCCCAACACTGTCTCTAATGCCAAGGTCCCCTAGAGCACAGAGAATTCAACCTAGACTCTCTCCTCACAACCAGCCCTCCAAGGCTGGGAAGGATGGCTCCCCCTCCCTAACTTCACTCCTATTACCCCACTCCTCCAGCTTGGGCAGTCAGTCACCTCTGCTGCACACCTTCTCCACTCTCTGATATCTTTTTCCTCGTCATGCTCTCCCCTCAAGGGCCAACCTTCTCCCTTTCTGTCTGTTGAAGTCCTGTCCACCCTTTGAGGCTAGGATCCCACTTGGCTTCCTCAAGGCCTGCCCAGAGCCCAGTCAGAATTTTCCTCTCCCTTCATTGTCCCCTACTTTCCTCATGTTATAGGGTTCTCCAGTCCTTCGGCCTGATATTGTGGCTCTCTAGGTAACCCCCCTCTGCCTGTCCCAGAGGTTCCCCCAACAGTTCTGTGATCTTCTCAACCCCGTGGCATACAGGAGGAGCGCAGCAGAAAAGTACTATATTGAAGTCGAACCGCACGGGAAATGGTCTTCAGGATGGTAGGACAGAAGAACGGTGGAGTGGAAAAGGAATTCCAAGCAGGGGAAGAATGAGCGAAGGAAGGCAGGGAGGGGGAAGTGGCTACAGGGGAGTAAGCACTTTGGCTGGAGCTGAGTTCACGAAGGAAGGCCAAAGAGCTGCTCCTTAAAAGGTGAAGAAATAAGGCCCAGGACTCCGGAGGCCCTTGGCCATCGGGGCCCCATTCCTCTCTGAGGACAGAAGCCCTGGTAATGCAGTCCTAGGGTCTGGGTCCCTTGGGCTGGCGCCACAAGAGGCTGGTCCCGGGTTAGCCCCTCTCCCTCTCCCGGCCCACTCCCTCAGCCTGCGTCGTCGGCCATCAGAGCCTCGCTTGCGGCCCCAGAGCCTCGCACTGACGCGGGCCCGCGCGTGAGTCAAGCCTGCGTCACGGCGCCCCGCCGCCAGGGTGGCCTTTCGGAAAGCGAGGGAACAGTGCGCGCCGCGCTCCGCCCAGCTCCGTTCCGCTCCGCAGAGCCGGCGCGGCCAGGGCACCGGGAGGGCGGCACTCGGCTCCGGCGACCGCAGCCGCACGCGCCGTCTCCACCGCGGGACCTGGGTGTCCGCGCTGCTTCCTTGAGGCTCGAGCGCGCAGCGGGCGGGATCTGGGCCGGGACCGGCGGCGAGGGAGGGAGCGAGGAGCGAGCAGAGTCGCGTGCGCGGACGCGCTACTCCAGGTCCCCTCCCAGACCGGGCCGGTGCCCGCCGCCGCCAGACTCGGGCTGCCCGTGGGAGGGGCGGTGCGCCCGCCACCCGTCTGGGACCGCAGCTACTCGGCCGGAGTGCAGGGTCCGAATCCGCGCGACGGCCCACGCCGGACAGGTGAGTCGCCGGCCGCGCCTCGCCTGGGTTTACCACGCCAGCCGCCGCAACTTTAGCCGTTCCGGCCCCGCCCCAGCCAGGAAGGCCTAAGGACAGAGGCGCGAGGAGGCGCCGCCAGGTACCCGCCCGGCCCTGAGCCGGCCCCGGGCTCCTCCCGCCGCTCCAGCCGCTGTTGCCTGGAGACGGAACCCCGGAGCTCGCGCTCTTCCGCGCTCACGGGTTGGCCAACCGGCTCTAGCTTCCCGGGCTCAGGAGGGCCCAAGAACTCCGGGGTAACCGGGCAGAGCTGCAGAGGCAAGCGCCCCGCGGAAGACCAGGCTGGAGGCCCGGCAGGTGTGGCCGCCCGGAGCTGCGCGCCCAGGGCGCAGTTCCCGCGAGGAGGCTTCTACGCGGCTGGAGACCCCAGCCCCAGCCGCTGGGCTTCAGGCCCGTGACCTTGACAGTAACATTGGCCAGAGAAGCAGAGAGCTCACGGCCGAGATGAATATTTAATTCCCAGTCTGGGGCTGGACCGCGCTCAATTCGGAGCTAGCGGGGAGCTCATCTTCCCTCGAGGGAAGCGCGTCTGGCAACCGAATGGCGGACATGGGGGACGTGCGCGGGGTGTGGGTCTGGAGAACTGTCTCGGGAGAGGCCTCTGCCACGTTTATACCTGTGCACACCGTGCTCCCAAACTACGCTCGCCGTAGTCTGGGGAGGGCTGAGGAGGGAAGCCTAGTGCTATCTTTTAAAAGCCCAAAACCCTTCTTGACTTTAAGTGTTCGGAAATCCTGAGGCCACTCACTTTATAGGACCCAGTTGCTATCAAGTGGAGTTTAAAAAAAAATTTTTTTTTTTTTTAAATCCTATTCCTCTTTCCTTCTTTGGGAAAACATTTAGGAATTAGGAAATTTCTAACCAGAGCTGCCTTGGTGGGGGTGCAATTCAGCTGTGAGAGTGAGACAGGAAGGTTGGGTTGGGGAGACAGGGCAGCGGTATACAGAAAAAAAGATGCTTGTGAGGGGGCTGTCCTTGTCAATAGGAACTTCCAGGAGCTAAGAAAATCCTGTAATGGCTCCCCAAATATTCAACCAAAACTTGAACTGGAGCCTGTTAGATGGTGCTGGACATTCTGATGGATGCCTGGAGAACAAGGTCAGAGTGTGTTGAGGTTAACAGCAAAGGATTCCTGTATTTCGTGCTGTGCCTACATTGTCCCATGGTCCAGTGAGGTAGACCCATCACCCAAGCAGGAAGGGCTTTGAGGTCACACCTGACTGTCCTTGGCTGTGGCCCATCCAGTGGGACCATCAGAGGTTTTGGCTCTTGTGCTGGCCTTTTCTCTAACGAAGCAGCTGCAGCTAAGTAGGTGGTGAGTTTCAGCAAATCCTTGCAGCTTGGCCCGAGTGACTCAGTGCAGGAGGCAAATCGTGCCCACCGGTGCTGATTGGAGTCAGTTCGTTTGGCCTGAGTCACACACAGAGTTGTGTGTCAGCTGTTTATGAGTTGAATGGAGTTCTTTATCAGGACTTGTAAGCAGAAACCCCAGAGCTCCCAGGGTTTTGGGGTCACAGAGGTGGGCAAGTCCTCGGGGTGAGCTAAGCAGAGCTCGGGCTGTCTGGCTCCTGGGCAGGGGTCCTAGAGCTCTGGCCTCACGGGCAAGGCAAGCAGGGGTTGGGGGGTGGGTTGGAGCACAGGCTCCGTGGGAGGCTCTGTGATTGTGGACAGAAATGGGCCCCATGCTCTGCCACATGCTGGCATGGGGTGACCTTGGACAAGTCACTTTACCTCCAGAGCCTTGATTTCCTCAGTTATAAAATGGGGATGCCTATAGTGCCTTTTTCTCAGGCTTATTTGGAGCCCCTTGCTGGACACCTGGCAGATGCTCATAAAATGTTGATTCCCCACCCTTTTATTTATGGCCCGTAACCAGCGGTGGTTCTTTCTCTCCCTGCCCTTGTGCCTTGGTGTGAGAGGGGGTATGGAGACCAATGAAAGTGTCAGGGCTTCACACGTGGTTGAGAAGGACCCATAATTCAGCTTTAAACTGACCTCTTCCCAACCTTCGGGTCTCCCCAGGACACCCTGAGTAAGAGCAGGATTACAGGGCGAGGGGTGGCAGGAAGAGTTGTGCTGGGTCTGATGGGTGTGCTTGGCTGTCTGCAACAGCTCCGGGGCGAGACTCCTGCATGGACCTTTACTCTTTAGGATCGTGCGTGACTGTGGCCTGCACTCAAGTTGTGGCATTTAGCTGGGTGGACTTCAAGGACCCCTGCCCTTGGATCAGATCTTGCCCTTCTCCCCATACCCCCACCTGTCCTGTCCACCATGGAGTTGGAAGCTGCATGACAACCATCCCGGAGAGGAGACTGTATTATTCTCTTGCCTTTCCCGAGGGATCCTGGTCCCTTGCTCTCTTTCTGTAATGTCTCTAGACTTGGTGTGAGCTAAGATGTGTGCGCCTCAAAAGTAAAGGCAGTAAGGGGATCCCCAGTGCAGCAAGAGGCCATGCTGGCCCAGGGGACTCCAGTCTACTACTGGCAGTGCGTGTGTGTGTGTGTGTGCGCGTGTGTGTGCATGAGGCACACGCACCCTGGAGGTATGCCCTCCCCACTGGATCTGGCAGCAAATTTCTGAGATGAGGGCATTCTTGACAAGCAGGATCTCTCTGCATGTGCACCTTCCCTCCCCTCGTGCTCCTTTCCTGTCTAAGTTAGCTGCAGCAGGACAATTCATCACCAGTCCCTTTAAGGCTGCTAAGATAAGCAGCAGAATAGTTTAAAGGGAAGATGGATTTGAGCTTTCTTCCTGGAAGCAGATCTGAGTTATGGCTTGCTCCTGGGCTGGGCTGCAAGGCATTCTCACAGCCAAACATCTGGAGCACCCAGGCTGGGAAAAGACTCTGTAAGTCAGCCACCACAAAGTCCTTTTCCATCATCCTCCCCCACCTTGTGTCTAAGACTTCCAGAGGTCAGAAGCACAAGACCGCTGGTGGATCTGTATTAGTGCCCTAACCTAGACAGGCGGGTTAGTGACCTGTGGGGAAAGGCCAACTTGGCGTGCTTTTAGGGGGGTGACTGCCGTTCTGGGTTCCAGCAGCTCACGCCATGCTTGGCACACAATGATGACACCTAGGTTTTTACCGAAGGCTTTGGTGTTATGCTAAGTGCTTTATTCATATACCATCTCATTTAATCTTCGCTACAACCACAGGAGACGGATAGTGCTCTCTATACTTTACAGATGTGGGACTTGAGGTTCAGAGAGGTGAAATAATTTGTCCAAGGTCACACCAGTAGTGAGCAGCAATCTGACAATTTGAATTCAGGTATGGCAGGATCCAAACTTTATGCCCCGAACCACTTATGTGATATCTTCACAGTATGCTCTTAATAAATATTTGCTGGCTACCTGAGCATTTATCCAAACAAGGTGTTCTAAGCCTGTGGGTCCGGTTCTTTAAGGTAGTGCCCCAAGGAAGCAGAAAATGAGCCTCCACCAATGGGAATTTGGTAGAGAATGAACATACGTAAACTTCCACGGTTTGGGGAATCTGGTCCGTTGTGGGTTGGAATCCAGCCGAAGATTCCAGGTTCCATTGTCATGTTTTACGGTCCTGTTGGTCTTTTTCTTCCTGATCTCTACCACTCCTGACCTCATTCCTTAAAGTTTATCCAAGTCAGGGGTTGGTGCTGGAAGCAGCGAGGGAAGAGTCCCGGCAGGCTGGATGGTACCCAGAGGATGTCTGCCTCCGCAGAATCAAGGACGGCCGTGTGCTGCTGGGAGCTCTGGTGTGTCAGATTTCTCTGCTGGAGAGCACGTGCCAGGGACTTGGAGGGATTTCTGGTCAGGTCCCAGACCCCAGAGCGAAACTGTTAACACTCCAAGGTTATTTACGGCAGCTGCTGGCATGGGCTGCTCAGAGGGACGCTGCTTGCTTCCTAGTCTTGTCCCATGGAGAGCCCACTGTCCTCACCCCTGGGGCTTTGCCCTGGAGTCCGTGACTGCTCTGGGAAATGTAACTTCTGATTCTTCCTGCCTCTTCATCTCTTCACTCTCTGAGAAATCACCAGCCTTGGTAGAATAGGCCCATTTGTCCTATCCTGCCTTGTACCTCCAAGCCACCGTTGATCTTGGGGAAGTTCCTGTAAGTGAGGGTGGAAAACTGGAGTGTAAGCATTATTGCTCCCCCACCCCACCCCCAAAGGACATGAAGAGTTCTCCCAGAGGCCCTTGCTGCACAAGCAGCCATTTTGTGCAGATACAGTGCTTTGAAAATTCCCCCTCTTCCACCTCCATGAGTAATTATTTAAATTAAAATGTGGTTCAATCATGGCTAAAACTGGTTATTAAAAAAAAACTAGATATTCACAGTGTTCAGAAAATTTACAGGTGAGAAACTAAGCTCAAATACAAGATGGATTACTGTACTACATTATTCTCGTGTTCGTGACTGGGTATATTTTGTTGGAGAATAATTCTGGGTCAGGTGAGTCCTGAGTAGCCTGAGTCTCCAACCTGGGGATTGAGACTTATAGCCCTATCTGGATGGGGCCTCTTGTGGAGTGAAGGCATAGGCAGGAGGAAATAATGCCCAGCTCTTGGGCTCTGGGCTCATCTCATCTCCTGCGTTTGTCCCACCGAGCTGCCTCTCGATCTTCCAAGGCTACTCATGGTTCATTTGGAGATAACAAGTTGCCTCTCACTGTTCTCCATCGTTTCTAATTACTGGGTTAATTAGAATTTCCCCTGGATTCTGTGCACCACTAATTTGCCACCTATTCTTTTACTCACAAAAATAATTCATTGGTCCACACCCCCAAATTCTGCTGCTTGCATTTTTCTCTTTAATTATAAGACTCCCGGGTCCTGTGGTTTTAAATCCCACTCCAGGTCAGGAGTGATGTTTGTTAAAGCTCCCTTTTGAGGAATGAGAACAGTCACCTGCTGGAGTGCCTCCATCAGGTGCTGCCAGGTGCCTATTCAGTGAGGATGTGAGGATGTGGACCTTCTCTTCCCTG